CTAGCAGTTAGCTTGATAAATAGGTGATAAAAAAAGGTATATGGAACTGGTTTCATAAAAACAGTTAAAAGTTATTTACTTCTGTTTTTTGAATATGTAAATTATTGAATTTTATTTACGGGGTGTCCCAAAAAAACTGACCTCATTTGAGATGCGAATATCTGAGTAACTACATGTCTTAGGCAAACGAAATTAAATAGGCCTCATGTTGAACAATACAAGATTTATTTATCAAAATTCGAACATGAAATTCAGAGGGATGTAAACTTTATAACCGATTTCACAAAGCTTCACAAATGTAATATCTTCTGATACTGGTGCTCGTCCAGATCCCTTTGCCCTGCGCACACTGCCTTCCTCTTTGAATTTTTTGTGCCATGTCCAAATCTGCTTTCCAGTTGGTGCATTTTTATTGAATTTTCTCGAAAAATGCACGCTGCACACTCTTGTTTGACTGTGTTTGAGCATACTCTAACACACAAAATGCCTTTTCATTTCTAGTGAACGCCATTTTTCAACCTGAGAAAAAACATTGAAAATTAACCTTGGTTAGTTTTTACACATTTTGTTAAAATTTGAGATCATTTGATGGAGAATTGGATATGTTATTAGGCTACGAAATTATGTCAGTTTTCTTGGGACACCCTGTATTTATTTCCATTTACTAAATCCTCTTCCATTGATTCACTGCGTTTTTACCAAATAGTTTATTTGCCACTGTTTCTTTTTTTTAGTGTCTGTGGTTTTGAGACTTTTTAGTTTCTTTGATGTAGCGTTTATATCAAACAAGCATCCACTTAGCAGGGTATTTGTTGGCTTTTGCTTGGGATCAGATGAACAAGCCACAGCGGTAAGAAGGGATCAGTGCACTTATCACCACCATGCTCACTTTATAAACAAAACTTAATTACCATGCTGCACATTTCACATGGCATAATGTGGCTGCCACTTAGTTTTATGTTTTGTGACCCTCAAACTATAATATTTTTCTATACACTGTTTGTGTTCAGTCATCCTCCTTTTAAGTTGCCTTTACACGATGAAACTTACTTTCTAGATGCTCCTACTTTTACACAGAGCGAAGATTCCTTTGGGATCTAAATGATAAAAGTGATTACAGAAGGGGAGACGGAGATGCACTCCTTGGTGAACTTGTAGTGTGTGAGACATTATATACATCCGTAATGGCTACGTAAACATTAATACATCACATTTAAAAACTCAAATATATAGTAAATAACCACAGATAAATATGTGCATGAAAGAACAACAAAAACAGCTAAAAAATGTCATCATACTACATATGAAATATGCAAATGTAATTATGCTAATGCCTTTATGTAGTGAAGTTATGATATATTTAAAAAAAAATAGCAGTTGCTAGCAGTTAATTAAATGGGTTGTGTGCAACTTTGTTTTGAACTGCTTCATGTTACTGTCAACTTGCTAGGGAATGAAGTTGCATGCAACTTCAGTTACCACGACATGGGTTCGATTCAGGCTCAGTGAAGCTTCATTGATGCAAATCTGGAGGATAATGACGCAAATCTGACACATCTATGTGTGTGTGTAGCCACTAGCTTAACTACTCTTGCGCCACTTTACTGCCCCCGTTATCACTAGATGCTAGCATTAATAACAATAATAATAATAATAATAATAATTGGCATAGTAAGCTAGAAGAAATCTTCACATACTACAACACGGTTAATTCCAGCTTACTGACACTACACTGAGACAAGTTTAGAGAATAAACACTCTGAGCAGGTAAATCTATTAAGCCTAAATTACTTGCTTTTCAGTCTTCATTAGCACTAGAGGCTAGCGTTAGCTTAGCAAGCAGGCTAAAAGGGCTTCACATACCCCACCTGTTCGGGCTCACTGACGTTCCGTTAAGAAAATTTAAAGGAAGAAGTCTCAAATCAGAACAAGTAAAGTTAAGTGACTGTTGTTGGAATGACAAATTAAAAACCTGCTAGTTTATTTTCTGATTATTAAAATTACAGTGGGATGTTATTTTTGTCTCTGCTTTGCTTCATCTCATCTGTTCAAACATAGAGGGCTGTATTCTCCATTCAGCAGAGGTAAATGCCCAGTGTGCAGGGTAGTGGGGGAAGGCGAGGCGAGGTTTAGAATCCAGGAGGCAAGGGGGCGTTTAAGATTTGCATAATCATGCATATTCATAAATCGTTCATTCTTAATGTACTGAGGTTTAGAAATGCTCTTATGCCACTTTGAGTTGTTTCCTGGGCATAAAAATAATACATGCAAATATTTAACGATTTATTATTCAACATAGATTATTTTTCATGGTTTCAATTATGACTCAGAGGCATGCTTTAAGACCTTCTTTTGACACTCTGTCAATCCTAAATCCACTAGGAGTAACATCCAAGATGACCTGATCATGATTTTATTTTCTCATTTCTAATTTCACTTTTTGGTCAACCCATCTTCAGTGTAAGTAGTGTTGATCAGTTCATCTTCAAGAACAGACCTGTCAAAAAATCTGCCGTGTCTGCTATTTTGAGCAGAATCTTTAGCCATACATTGTGCTAACAAAGACGAATCGGCTTCATCATGTTTGTAAGTAGAGATCCAGATCTGTTCCGTTTGTGTAATATGAATATATCTTAACAGGAGCTCCACACATGCTTTGAACATCGGTAGTACAATACTTTTCAAAAGTTTGGAATCACCTGCCGTGTTTACAGTTTTATTTAACAGTATGAATTTAAGTATCACACATTGTTCACCAAAATGATTTTTATATTCAGAATTCTGTGACCAAAAATTTTAGGTCAAATTATCTGCATTTCGAACACTTTCGAAACAAGATGAATCTTGAATATTATTATATTTTTACATTTCATTCTTGTTGCTGTGCAGCTTTTTTTGCTTTTTTTGGACATTTTGCTAGTGTCCTAGTAATTATTTAAAACCTATGAAGTTGCACAGGACTGACATATTAGAATCATGTTAGAATCCCTTTTAATTTAATTTGATTTTATATAATTGATCCCAAACTTTTGAACAGTGTTGTAGATCAGACAAAGCAGAGAACACCACCTTCCCAGTAATGTGTGGTGATAATCTTTATTGTGTCTTCTCCCGAGAAACTCATAACTTGTTTGCTTAACTAAATTTAAAGTAACGTCTCAACTTAGTCTGGGCAGAATTCATAGAATTACTGCGAAACATCAGAGCTGGTAGCTTAATTGAACGGAGGAATCAATCAGTGTCCAGTTTGTGGAATAAAGCCTACTGGCTTTCTGCTCAAGCGGTTGCTATGACAATAGTTCAGCTGAGGGAGAGAGACGGTTTGAACCAAGAGAGCTTTGTAGTTGAAATGCCAAAAAAACAGAGGTGAGTGAAACACAATTTACATACTGCTGTGGCGAGAGCTTCAGAACTCTAATTGACACACAATGCATTATGCAAATGTTTTAATTAATGCATTTAAAATGAGCAACTAATTGGCCTTTCATTCTATTGGAAGCATAATTCAAAGCAGATAAGTGAAGGATGTGGGGATTACAAATGAGGTGCAGAAATTAAGCATTCAAATAACAGCCATTTAAATGTAGCTATGCAAAAACATTCCTGGCACCACTTTGGAATGAACAGCTGGAACGTGAACTACTTCTATCGAAACACTGCTACTGGGCCCAAATCACCATCATAAAACAGACAGTTCTGGTTCTGAATTCTGGCTGAGCCTCATTTAAAACTGTTGTAAAATACTCACACAAAATTAAACTATGTATTAATGCAAGTCATTAAAAACTTTTGATGCTTAGCAATTGCGGCCTACTGTTACTCACTCACTCACTTAGTCAAAGAACTCTACAACTTTGCTTTTCGGAATACTTAACACCACCTCATACCCACCCCTTAATTTCTTTGGTTAAATGTTTTATTAAAAGCAAATTAAAAATGATCAATTGTGGGTTAATAAACTTGTTTTCCCAAGAATATTCTTTGAAATTGCAATGAAGGAAGGTGACAGCTGTCAGAGCTCCGCTGGTTTGGTATTCTGGATTACCACAGGCGCACTGTTCATTGAGGGAATCTGCTCAAACAAGGGAAACACTAACACGGAGCCTCTGGCTGGTGGCACACAGAGTATGAGAACACAATACAACAAGGCAATGAAACTTCCTAATAAAAAGACTCTTGTTAACTGTACTGCCTCCTGAGGCCCACTCAGTGCAGACACAAAGGCAAAACATTGTTTCCTGACTTCTAGCGCAAAGTCCAGCCCCATTTCTTTACACTGTGACAATGTGACCTCAAACAGGACCTTACATGCCAAGTTTTAGAATCTTTAGTTTCTTGCAATTCCTGATTTAAGCCATGATGCATGTAATCCTTTGGTATCTCATCTTTTCACGCTAGCCAAGTACTGTTACTTTGGCTAGGAATGTCTAGCAACATGACATGTTATTATTTACAAGAACATGGTGACCCTGTGGCCTTGTCAATTTTAAGATGATAGCAAAGCAGAGTAGGACAGCATAATATGGTGGTTATCACACTGTCACGTGGATTCTTTGTCAAAGCCATACTATATACAAAAAGTGGGCAATATGATGATATTTTAGCATTATTGTGATAAATTGTCTCTCATGCTTTTCTGAGCTGATCGCAGATATTATCACTACTTAAACACTGACTAGGTTTCATTAAAATTTAGTGTAATTAGGCCTGTTTAATTGGATTTAGTGCAGTGCAGTTTGTAAAACAGTGAATAAGAATCATTGTAGTTCTACGTTTCTAATTTTTTTTTATATGTGGCACTTCAGGTTCTATTTTGTTCTGTTCTGTTAAATATCATGGTGCCTATCAAGTACCCTGAAAATGTGTTGAAATATTGTGATGTAATATTTTTGCCATACTGCCCACCCATGCTATATACTATAAAAGGACAGGTCAGGGTATGGGGATTGGTGGGGGGGGGTCACCTATGTTGAACTTTAATCTGTTTAGGTGGACGGAACAGAAGGGCCAAGGCAACTGCAGAGTGTAAGCCTTAGGCTGAAACTCTGGGGACAGACAGTGGTGAAACAGTGGAAGTGACAGAAGACACAGAACTCTCAGATCGAAAGATCTTGAAAGATTTTACCATACTCTATTTTTCTTTTCTTCCATTTTTGTTCCTACTGGGCAATGTCTGAATATACATCTCACAGTCAATTTGCCATTGTAAGAAAAAGTGACACGCAGCCTCACCAGGTATGTAAAAAGCAAAGGTAAACAAAGTTTGTTAGACGAAGTGATCATGAATAGGCATGAATCTGATCTGATTGGCCTTTGTTGTCTGTAAATGGTTCTGACCTAAGCTCTAATAATATTACATATCTGAAGAGATCATTAAAAAAAATAACTTTCTTTACTGCATTTTCAGTTACAGTTTTACCTGCCAAATTTGTTATTTGGAAATTTTAAAACACAAACAGTTCGGTGCACAGTATCGGATATGTTTCATCTGCATGATGGTCACAGTGAAGTTAAGGTGACTGTGACAGAGTTTACTTTCTCTGTTTGCTTTTGTGCGTCGTAGCACCCACCCTCTTCCCCTGCCAGGCGGTCCAAAGTGTCCCTCCCATTTTTGAGCATTTTTCAAAGATGAACTTGGGGTGGAGTTATCTGAAAGTGAAAGGGTGTCGTTACTCTTGAATCATTTTAAATTAAGAATTCTCGTGTGCAGTTTAGTTCTAGGACATGATTTAATGAATGGGCTATACTTTCATAGCTGTTAAATTTGGCTCATAGATAAACCTGTGTCTCACTACCTCACTCTGAGAATATACTGCTGACAGCCTTGCAGCAGACAGAGAACTTAAGGCCAGATAGCGTCCTTAAAAAAACAAGTTTGACTATCTACAGTCGAGTTGGTTTAACCACATCAAATGGTTATGAGAACTGCAGAAATAAGTTTTAATGTATTACTTGTAAAATTTAACAGCTTGAAACGCCAATAAAGTATCAGCAACTTGCCAACTTGCCAACAACTTGTGTGTTTTTAAATTGTACACCTGATAGAAACCTCTGGCAACTTAATTTCTGCCTTTGAATAGAAGGAACACTTGGAAAATGATGAACTTTTTACGTTTGACTGGGTAGGATCGGTTAAGTGACAATTATGTGAATTGGCCACAGTCAGAGCCACTTGTGGATTAGCATGTCAGGCTTATGTGTAATTCAGAATCAATGTTTTATGGATAACAGGAATCCTGTTTGGGTTTTTTTTTTTTAATGTTATGTCTCTGTTGCATATGTTCCCCTGTTGTTGCCGGGCATTTTTGTAGTGTATCTCAGGGTGTGTAAATTAAGTAACTGGTCGTTAGTGGTCGACAGTGGTCGTTAGCAAATGAATTCCTGCATTGTTGTTGGGGCAAAGATTGCATGCTGGGAAGGTTTTCTCCCTCTCTGCTTAATTAAAACAGTCACACTCGGGTGGTAATTGGGCTCAGTTTACTTCTCCCTGCCTGTTGTGCCTGCCATACCCCCCACCCTAAAAGCTATCCAATTAATATGCTAATGAGCAGATAAATATTTATGAAAGTTTTGAATTATGCAGAAAGCTTTCAGAGGTCTCTCCGAAATGAATTGCTTGCCGAACTTCAAAGCCGCTCTCCGTTAACGAGCAACGGGGTGTAAGATTTGCATACGGCTTTAATCAGCTGCATACTGATTAAGTTTCATTATGGATGCTACAGTTCCAGCTGCAGTCTTTGTCTCTGTTTCGTTCTGGTGAGGGAGGAAAATAACTTTTCCATATGCCAGTCGTAACTGTCACCATTACAGCTGGAGCCGGCGTAGGAGCAGGTGGATAACTGCGCACAGGTTTCTTTCCTTTCTTTATATTTTAACAGTATTGTGGATTGTTTTGCAGTTAGCCTGTATTAGTTTAAAGAGTGCGTTCACAAGCAAATTTGCAGAGATAGAGATCATGCACACGGCTGTTTCTGGTGAGTTGCTTTCCGTTGTTCATGATTTTGGTGTTTGTACTACAGGCTAGTAGTATGTCTTCTTTGAAATACATACAATAAGTTTTATTTTTCTTGTGTTTTGCACTGTTAGTAATTTTGCTGAAGTTACTGACGTCTCAATGCTTCATCAAAATCTTTTTCTCAGGTTATGATCTTCCATCTTTAAACTCTTGTGAATGCACTTGTTCGGCTTAATCCTTTGGTATGTGTGGGGTATTGTGTAGAGTTTTAAGTATGAAGGTGCTATGCAGATATTGCTGTGATTACTCGGTTTTGCATTATGTTTGCCATTGTTAGCACTGCAATTAGCATAATTTAGCTTAGTAATTGGCTCTCTTTATTCTAAAATGTTTGAAGTTTTTTGCAGTTTCTATGCAGTTCTCCCCTGTTTCACTGCATTGAATTCCTCATGTTGAAAATTGATGAAGGCAAAAATTGAACAAATAAGGCATGCAAAGTTTCAGTACTATTCTTTTTTTTATTTATATATAAGCTTGAAAGTGACCTCTGCGTCAGAGACTTCGGACATTTATTGTAGTGATAATGTGCACTTCTCAAAAATCTCTTTCTTTCTTACTTTTTTTTTAATGCAGATTCTGCTCCTAGTCCCACTCAATCAAGTAAAACTACCATGGAGAATGGAATGCATGTCCAAGGTAAATCCTCAAGCATTGGTTTGTGTGATACCTTCATCTGTTGCTCATGTAAGCTGATGGGTTTCTTATTAAACTGTTTCTCCTTCTGCTTGTAGTTGCTCAAACAAATGGGCTGGACTCACAGCAGAAACCAAATGGACAAGCAGCAAGTGCAATCAGCAATGTGCAGGCACAAGCCCTGCTCCAACAGGTAATGGGCACTGAACTTGGAATTGAGCTTGAAAGTGTCCCAGACAGCCATACTCTTACACAGAAAATAGAATAACCGTTTTGTAGGGATATATCATATGAACAGTACGGTATCAGAAACAGACCAGTTTGTGGTTCACAATTTTTGGGTACATTATAGTAAGCGTAATGTGGTAAAATCTATATCCTGCGACCATAACACACCTATTCTCACCTTTATACTGGTATACCTCCCTCCCCTGTTGTTTGGTTGCAGTAAATTTCTATACTCTGTTATACAGAATGCAGAATGAATGTTAATGCGTATGAGCACAGTAATGACCACTGCTTCTTCAGTTTCCATGGCAAAGGTTCCTTCACCCTGGAGACAAGTCAGAAATAAATTACTGAGAAAGTGTCTTGGCACTTGTTATCTCTTAGAAACAAGTGTGAGCGATCAGAGCGGTATGTTAATTAAACTCTGCTGCAGTTACTCTGAAACAGGTGAAGGAGAATATGCAAATCTATGCAGAATTTATATGCGCCGCATAATGCCCTCATTTGTGAAACATGAGCCTCCCTCCAGATGATTTTTGCATTCATGAAAGTTTCGGTGGCTTTTTCTACTTATAGAGCCGAACAGATTATACGCTCTAGGTCTGTGTAGTTGTTAGAGGCTGCACCCAGTCAGACGTTTTGTGTACAAAATATCATGTACTGTCTATTGCATGAAGGAGCAGTGTACTGTCTTTTATGCTCAGATGGTAGTGGTGCGTGGGCATAACTGTGGGAGTCTAGTCTCAATTCATAGTTGATGGTGAACTAGATTGAGAGGGGAAGTCAAATATTATGAAATTTGTGCTCCTAGTGCAAGTCATTCAGTTCATCTGTAAATTTTAGTTACGGAACCCTGAATGTCTGGGTTCAACAGCACTATGATTTCAGATTTGCAGATTTAACTGGCACTGTACTTAAAACAGGTTCTTCTTCCTACATCAATTTCCATGTTTCACAAATCCCACTGTGCATGGAAAGCAGGTTTAGCTTAAAATGCGAATAAGTGAAGAGTAATTTGACATGTTGAGATTCTAATTACACGATCCAATAGTTTTTTTTAGCAAGCAGTTTTAGCTTTTAGTTCTATTTTTCAATTTGCAGTGGATTTTACAGAGAAATTTACACGTTTCTTACCAGTAAAAACCACATTTCTTACTAGTAAAAAAGGGATTTTTACCAGTCAATGTAATTTTTACTAGAGGAATTTTAAATTTCATGTGCAAATTAAATTTCTGATATCAAGAATTTTATTTACTCTTTGAAATTAAATTTTAATGTGTACATTGAAATCCTGGGATGATGAAAAATAGGAAATAAATCCTGAAAAAGCTCACCACAGTAATTAGAATTTCAGCATGTCAGTTTAATTTTCAATTGCAATAAAAATACAAAATGTTGAACTTTGTTAGTAAAATTGTTACTGCAATTATTATAAATTGGAAAAAGGCTTGAAATATTACGAATGTGTTACATGCTTAAATGTAATTCCTACAATTAACACTTGAATGTTTATGCTGTAATTATATTTTTTATATCATTTGTTAATAGTAAAAACACTTCCTGACGATCATTACCAAATAATTTGCTATTATTTGTCAGCACTTCTTAAAATTAACAGCTCTGTTTCTGAGAGTTTTTAATTTTCTTTGTTTCTGCATTTTTACTTTTCTCATCATGTCCAAACAAGAGCTTCCTTGGCATGGGTCTTTAACATGCATGATCTCATATTAGCACAGCGCTGTTACAAGTGGATTTTAATTGGCTCTTGTCTAAGAGACAGATGAAAATGCTGCAGCATTAAAAAGATAGTAGTGCGCTAATCACCGCCACAATGACTTTATGAATAGCTCTTACTAGCGTGCTATACATTTTGTGTGGCACAGTGCTGTTACCATGGTATTTCATGAATCTGGTCCAAAGCCTATTGTGCAGAGTCTTCCTCTCACTTACTAAAAGCAGAAACTTGCAACGCAAGAATTCATTAATCAGTACCGATAGTTGGCCATGTCTTTCTTTTCAGTCTGAAAGTATTTACATTTATTCAAATTGCGAATTTTAATACAGGCGATGTGCAACAGTTTGCCAACAGTGGTGCAGTCTAAGTGTTGGGGCATATGCTTACTGGAGTCTGTCCAGTGGCATAACCGTCTAAAATTTTGCCCCATCGTAAGGAGATTTTAAGCTTGAATTTCAATTTCCTGAAACATGCAAACACCACAAAAAAGGTGCTATTCATGAGCAATCTAGCTATAATAGATGGAGATCTAAATTGTTTAATGACAGAGAGGCACTAGTGGGCCATCACTGATACTAATAACGTTCGCTAGCAGTAAATGTTTTCTACTTGTTATAAGCAAATGGTTAGGAGTTTGTGTGTGTAGATGTGTGTTGGGCTTATTGGGTCCCACTTCTGACAGTTGCTTTTGATAGTATAGGTACACCCTAGGGTTCCTCATACTATGTTTGATTAAAGTAAACCAAGTTTCTTGGATAGAATCTATTGAAGTGAAGTCAAGATAAGTAATTTTGCTTCGTGCAAACATTTATCAGTCAGTAGGACTCGATGTCATTGCTTGAAATAAGCTGAAATGCCTAGACATTAATAGGTTAAATAATCTTGGGTACAGCGTGCTAGGTAAATAACTTTCTCATAAAGACAAGTATTCATTTGTTAGAATGAATACTTCAGATTGAGCGTCTTAATAATTACTTTGTAATTTGAATGATAAGATGTGTGTCTGTAGGTCATTATAAAGTTGCATTTCTCAGATTCTTCATAAGGAGGCATTAGGACACTAAAAAGAGGAAACCCACACCAGCAGGACCTGACGAAGGCACACGTGTTTTGTAGTAACAAATTTCATGTATATGAAGTTAAGGATGAAGTTTTTGTTTCCCTAAGTTAACAGCTAACTAGCTAAAAGACTCCTTAAGTAATATTTAGAGTTAGGCTTTAGTGGATTCAAAAAAACATGAATGAAACAAAATGAAAGAATATGGCTCTTAACTGTCTGTTTTCTCCAAATTCTTCAGTCTGATGTCAGAAGTCTTAAACCCTTTATGGGAAGTGAACAACACTGTTAGTTATTTGCATCTAAGCCTATTCTTTTGTTTGACCTTTAAAAATCAAAACTGATTCCTTAGTTAATTGTCAAAATAAACACTGGATTACTTGATTACTCATCTAATCGCAGTCCCAGCCTTAATTTTCACTTGATTTGCAGTTTTCCAAAGGTAAATTATAGCATTGTAGGCCAGTGATTTAGACTTTTCTGATTACTGTCTTATTTAGATTGAACAAGGATTAATGTACAGGGTATTTAACGTCATGTATAATAAGGCAGTTGCTCCATAATCAGTGTAAAAGTGCACTGAAGAGGCAAAGTTTTAAAACATAGGGATTGTGCCTTTAGGAATGTCGGTCATGATTGTGATTATTTTGTCTACTTTGCAAATCGGAGCACAAAGATGTTTCCTTGACTCTCTGATATTCACTTTCTCTTTTATCTGCATCTCTGTAGTTGAGCCTGAATTCAGCACTGCAACAGGCTCAGCTCCTGGCAGCGGCCGTGCAGCAGTCAGCAGGCCAGCAGAGCAGCACCACTGGAGCCAACATCTCCGCCTCTGCAGCTACGCCCATCACTCAGATCCCCCTCTCACAGCCAATCCAGATTGCACCGGTAAGAAACTGAGACCGTCCTCCTGGATTTGATTTACAGGAACAGTTTAAGACTTTATTAGGATGTATTTTTTCCCTAATCCTGTAAAAAAAAAATAAATAAATAAATAAAAAACAGCACAGCTCACAACAATAATCTAGTCATTTGAAACACTAATTGCATTTATATGCACACCAATGGTTTAGTCAATTTCAGTCTAATTTCGTGATTCACAGAAATGAACATTCTTGACCAAAATTGAAATTCAGGACCAAAACCAAAGCCAAAAACAAAAGCAAGCGTTATTTTATATATATATATTTTTTTATTTATACTTTTAAATTAACATAAAGCTGACAGTGCTTCAGAGGTGATCTTGACCATGTTGACAAAGAAAACTGATGGAGAACTTGAGAGCTAATTTAACAGCTTGTTAGACAATATTAGTTATTAAACATTTGTTATTATTATTAAAATAAAACAATTTTATGGTTTCCCAAAGGTGTCTATAGCTGAATTCCAGTATTTGCAGTAACAACTTTCAGAATGTAAAAAAAATAAGAAGGAAATGAAAACAACTTTCAAAGTTAATTGCTAAAAGATACTGATGTACTATATATTATTTGATTTCCATCAAAAAACGTGATGTTGAAAAGCTTTTAATTTAAAGAGTCTATAGAATGCAGCTGCAGAGGACTGTGTTTGTGTGTCACTGTTCATCTTTGATTTTCATTACCATTCAAATTATTCACTTCGATCTTTTACTTTTCCCTTTTTTTCTTTCGCCCAAAAACCAGACCCAAAAATAACCCAAATTCAGCCATTTTCTGACTAAATTTGTCAGTGGCCGATGGATAAAATGTTTCTCACGTGTTTCACTCAGAAAAGTCACATGTCTGATTCACATTGATGTTAAACTTTCAAGGCCTCTCTGAGAGCATAAAATATGTTGCAGTTTTTTAGCGCTTTTTACAATGAGCATCACAAAGCAACTTCACAGAAATGAGCAAACCAAGCAAGGACAGTGAGTGACAACGAAAAACCCACTAGAAGATGTTTATTCTCTCTCTCTTTCTTTCTCATTTTCTTTCTCTCTCTCTTTCTTTCTCTCTTTCTTTCTCTCTCTCTCTCTCTCTCTCGCTCTCTGTCTCATCTTGCTGTATTTTGTGGTTACTTTCTTTCAGCAGCTGCAGCCTTCGGGTATGAACCTGCCTCAGTTCGTGTTGGTGCAGCCTGGCCAGCTTCAACCTGCCCAGTTCATCCTCTCCCCTTCACCTCAAGGACAGACTGGTATGGACGCCACACCAAACACTCATAGCATCCTCCATGTTCTGATACATTTCAACATTGATAAGAATCCAAGATCTAGATTTTACTCTAGATTAGACAGCACTTTCAGTGCTGCTTGGGTAAAACAGACTTTACTGTATTTCTAGCCTGGCCTAGATCTATCCTGCTGTAAAATAAAGTGTTAGCTGTTTGAGGTAGCCGACAGTTTGGATAAGAGGCAGTGACACGTCTAAGTTTTCAGATCAATATTTCAAGAGGCTTTGCTCTCCAGACTTACATTTTTACCTTCTCTGATTCGCTGTGCTTCGTTATCGTGCTCTCTTACTTTTTTCTTTTTCTACCTCTTCCTTTTTTTTCTTTCAGGCCTTCTTCAATCCCAGAATCTCTTCACACAACTACCTCAAAGCCAAGCCCATGTCCTGCAGTCTCAGGTCACGCAGATGGCTTCCACACAGGTCAGTAACTCCAAATGACTACTCTCACTGGGCAGTTAATCCTAGTCAGCAGGTTCATCTACATTCATAAAATTTCTTATGGTGGTGTCAAAATCTACTGCATCTTCCAAAGCTTTCACTAGAGCTCTCTATCCTCTGATGCCTTGATAGGTTATCTTAGTTGAGCCTAAGGGTATTTAAGTCTTTCTTTGCAGGTGAAAGCGGTCTAAATCTGATCTTTTTCTTCATGTGTGACGAGATTAGATTTTTGTGTCACAGTGTGAACCGCAAAACCACATTGAATCTGACAGTTTCAGTTCAGCCCACTTTTATATGTGGCGCTGAAATCCGATAGGCATCCAGTATGCGATAATGGGAGCGTTGTGTGATCAGCCTGATTGGTATTCGTGAAACTTCAGTCCAACACGATATTTATCATCATTTCATGTTCGGGACACCAGCAGATCATCAAAGTGCTTGCTACTAGGGTTACGCTTCACGTCTTTTCTGTTGGAAAAGTGAGAGAAGTGCGGACAGTGTAAACATAGACGCATGGCACTTTCCTGCGAGAGAAGTCAAGCTAACAGCTATTCACAGTCTACTTCAAGGATAGATGAGGTCAAAAGAGCTTCACACACATCAGAGCCCTTATCCAGTGTATGTCATATCCTTGCTTTTGCATGGAGTTTGCACCCTTTTGCTGTTTTTCTTTCATGACAGGTAATCAAAAGAGCTTTCTTTCTCTGTTTGATCAGCGTCTACATTTAAAACAAGCACTTTTTTTTTTTTTTTCAGCAGTGCAGTTAATCCATAGTTTGACAGCTTGACAGTAATAATTCTGGACTGAATGGTCTTCTGTTGTTCACCGAATCCAGTGTTTTCTCAGTAATAGTAATAGTGACATGACTACAGGTAGTCTGGATGAAAATTACAGATACTTCGAATCAGGAGTCAAAATCAGACAAACATCCGCAAGTTACGTTACCGCGTTTTAAGACATATATCTTTTTCATGTCCACAGGCAGCAACCCCTACACGGAAGATAGCTGCCATGCCGGCTCCTGCACCACCCACCCCAAAGCGGGTAGATGTTTCTCTAGTGGAAGAGGCCAGTGACTTGGAGGAACTGGAGCAGTTTGCCAAGAATTTTAAACAGAGAAGGATTAAACTGGGCTTTACTCAGGTACCTAGAATAAAGCTTGAAATATTTGGCAGAACCCAGTAGGACCTGACCGCTCACGCCTTGTTTAAATGTCTTTTCCCAACTGTATGTTGGGCTGGGGTTGAGTTTACATTTGGGTTCTTGCAGCCCGCCTCCCCCTTTTAACAGATTTTACCTTGCGTTTCTCCCGGCTTTAGTTTTTCTCATTTAATTTATTCTCCCTCCTGACTTTCGTTACATTAAATCAGTTTTTAATCTGGCCTGCTGGAGCCACCCACTCATGTTGTTGACTGAGTTTAGCATAGAGGCCCATGAGTCCCAGGCTTGAAAAAATGAAAATGTGGGAAATATGGTGCAGCCAAAATGGTATTTTTGCTAATTTTTTTATGTTCAATTTATGTGTCTTATGTTCTATGTAAAGAAATAGTTTTAGGATGAATCTGGTGAAGGCAAAGATCCTGCTATATCAGCACCGTTAAGTGTAAGAAAAGTGCAGGATGAAAGATTTATCCAGACTAAAAATGTTTGAGATGTTGCATGAAAGCATTGCTTGCTAGATATTTTTGTTTAAGCAGAACTTAAACTTATTTTTGGACAGCTGATTATTTTATCATATATATATATATATATATATATATATATGTAATGTATGTGTGTGTAGTATAGATATGATATATATATATATATATATATATATATATATATATATATATATATATATAGAGAGAGATAGAGAGAGAGAGAGTTGTTACCTAATACTGTTGCACAGTGTGGTTCAAGTCAGGTTTGCACAAATATTTCTCATGCTCAGGTTGGGGTCAGACTCAAAACTCGTGATCTGGTTCAGGTCTAGTTAGATTTGGACATAACTTTCTTGTGCTATATTTTGATCCAGTTTAAGCTTTTGCCCCACAACACGCTTGAACCTTTTTTATGATGCTGTCTCCAAGATTTCATGGCGCCACTCATGGTTTAATTCCATTTGACACCCAGGGAGACGTGGGCTTGGCCATGGGCAAGCTCTATGGAAATGACTTCAGCCAGACCACAATCTCCCGCTTTGAGGCCTTGAACCTGAGCTTCAAGAACATGTGCAAGCTCAAACCTTTGCTGGAGAAGTGGCTTAATGATGCTGGTCTGTCTCACCTTCATTTGATCTCTTTTCCGTTATAGAAACTGGTTAATTTTGTATAACCATCTCTTACTGCATAAATTTATTCTCCTCAAGCTCATTCAAAAGCATTAAGCCTTCAATGTAGTTATTTCAAAGCTTACCAACATTTTCTCCTTCCCTTTTTTCTTTTTATCTCTATAGAGAACATGACATCTGATGCTGCAGTTTCTAGTCCCAGTGATCTGTCCCCAGGCCTGTGTGAGGGCTTGAATCGCCGCCGCAAGAAGAGAACGAGCATTGAGACCAACATTCGTGTTGCCTTGGAGAAAAGCTTCCTGGAGGTCAGACTTTTTCTTTACCACCAGGGGGCAGACTAAGCATAGTATACAAAGTATCTTTCCATCTTACTTAACAGTTTCTGATAACTGTCTTTAGCAGGACAATCAACAAACAGTTTACACACACAGCTTTCTGTCAGTTGTCTACACTGACTACACTATGGGATAGTTTAGTTCAAAATGAGTTCATGGTTAACAGGGGATGCTATCATGCAATGCTAACTGCTGGCTTTAATGCAAGATGATCAATCACCATTTACTAATATGGGAATTAATGGCTGATATCCCATTCTATAGCAAAGTCAAAAGCCTACCTCTGAAGAGATCACAATGATCGCAGATCAGTTGAACATGGAGAAGGAGGTGGTGAGAGTGTGGTTCTGTAACCGTCGGCAGAAGGAAAAGAGGATCAACCCACCAAACAGCGGCGCACCCGGCACACCTGTGAAAACCATCTTTAGCAGCGCTACACCGGTAGAATCTAAATACCTACTCTATAGTTGATTCATGTAAATCTGTTACAAGTGAGTTTTAAGGCAAACTTGGATGTGAATTGTACAGTGATGTCTCTTTTGTTGGTTCATGAATGTTCACAGGTGTCCAATGCATCAAGCGCACTGACTGTAAATCCAGCGCTCCCACTCAGCACTGCCTCTCTTCCCGGCCTCACTCTCACTGGTATGTTTATGTTTGACTTTGTTCACTAATGTAATCATAATTTAAAATCTACCTACATCTATTCTGTGGTATTGGTTCATATTCTATGTGCACAAGTTATGTGCAGTCAAATCTGATCATGAAATGTGGCATGCAGATTTCACAGACTAATTTGGTATTCATCAGTGTCCTCTTTGGCGCATCTGGTAGAAGTGCGTGTAAAGCCGAGCTTAATATTTTTCAGGTCGTTAAAATATTTCATTGTGGTTAAATGATGAAAATGATCAAAACCATCAATAAAATAATATTACAGTAATAACAGTTAAAGTACAAAATAGTGATAATACTAGTAATTGTGCACACAGAAAAAATGCTATGACTGTACATTCAATTCAAAGACTTGCTTTATACTACTGATGAAATAACTAAGTACCGTTCAGAATATACAAAACAAAGCTATCCTAGTGTTGTAGAAGCCATCTCATATACTGCAATAATACTGCTCAAGGAGCCAATGTTTTAGAAAGATAATTACATCACAGTCATCGTTCTACCATCTTAAATAAAGCTAAGATGGTTTGTTCATTTCACATTTTTTTCCCCTGTCATGCTGTTTAAGCCCTGGCCAGTAGCACTTTCTGCTTGACCTCAAACTCCGCCAGTGAGGACAACAATTGGCTCATCAGCTTGCTGAATGCTTTACTTTTATTGGCTTACTAGCAAAACATGCTTCATATAAATTATATGTAAATAAGGGTCAAATTGAAGCCCTTCCTTTGCAAATGATTTGTAAATAAGGCATTGTTGCTTGTTTCCATTCGCTGGAAGCTAAGTTCATTGGTTGTGCTGTAAAAAACACGTTTAGATGTCATACAACAGTTTCCTGAAACAGGCGCATAGTGTGTGTGTCATTCAGGATGGTCAAATCTTAGTTTTTTTTTGTTTCACACCACTTTGAATGAACAGTGAATCTCTTTTAAATGATGGTATGTTCCCACAGCAGTTCAAACATAATTGATGGTCCAACATCGAGCCTTGGGGCACACCATAAGATAATGCTAGCAGTAGAACATTTGATAGGAATGGTTTTGTATTCCTTCCTGTCCCTGAGTTGTTCTGTTGATTCCAGGTACAACCCTAGGACCCATCACCTCAAACACAGCTTCAGTCATCTCGTTGGCACCCGCTGTTGCCACTCCAGCCCCAACGGTTACATCACCATTACTTACTACCTCTGCCACTGCAGCAGCTCTGACCAGCTCAAGGCCGAATGCAGTTGCTACAACGCAGACTAGTTCCACTATGGCAACAGCAGCAGCACAGGGAGCAGGTCAGCTTGTGGTGACTCCATCGGGGCTGGGAGGAGTCAACCTGGCAGCTGTGGCAGCAGCTGCAGGACTTAACCCAGGAGTTATTGCACCTACCCAGCTAACTCAGGGGTGAGCATGAAGTCTTATTTTGTGTGTGTGTGTGTGTGGGTGTGTATGACTACATGCTTTCATAAAAGTCTTCTTGCTTGTATTATTCACTGAAGGTGTAAGCAGAGCACTTGTCTATCTTCAGATATTTTATCTGAATTCTTATTTTTTTTTTTGTGTTCAGAGACAGCAGAACCTATTTGTAGCACTACAAGAAGTTGGTATTTTTACGACCTTGCGACATGAATTGTGGTAATGTGGTGTCCTCTGCTCTTTACACTGTCAGAGTTGGTGTAACTGGAAAACCTGGGTAAATGAAATAGTGCAAACTATTCTTGTGGTGAAAAAAGGAAGGAGGAAGTCTAGGAAGTCGATTATCGTCGCTCTATTTAATAGCCTCTTTTTCAGTGTGTTGTTTTTTTTGTTTGTTTTTTTTTATCGCCATTAGATGACTGACGTATTTGAGTAATGAGTGCTGTAGTGTTGTAGAGAAAACAGATCAGATATGTTAGATTAGAGTTGGCACTAAACTCTGCAGGGCAATTGGGACCCCTGACTCGCAGGGTCATGTCTAATTTCATAATCATAAGCATAATCAAAATTGAGTGACTCCACCAGCATCAGATTTTGCACATTGGACATTTGCACATCGGAAATATATTTGTTACAGTGAGTCATGGAACAATGTGGCTGATAATCATAGTTTCCATGTTACACTGGAATAATTTAACATATAGTTGAACAGCCTGTTTCATTTTAGGCTCAATTGTCTGTAGTGTAGCAAAGTAATGGAATACATTATTGCAAGGAGAATGAGGCATATATTTGCTGATGTCTAGCTTGTTTCTCACAAAGCTGTTTAACTTAATATGACAAGCAATATGAGTAACTAAAAAGATACTAATCACCAGGGGTGGGAAAAGTAGAGAAATTATATTTAAGTGGCAGTATAATGGAAAATTGAAGTTTTTAAATTTTTTGACATAAATCATCGTTTGGTAAATACCGTAAAATACTGTTAAAAGTTTCAAAACTTACCATACAGTTCACATAAGTAAATTAAGCTGCAAAAACTTTTTTTTTAAAAAAAAAGAAAGACGTAGGATATTAACGTTACTTTAAAGTGCCCAAAGTAATGCTGGCCACAAGCTGATCACACCCTGTAACCCAGACCAGGGAATCTAATCATCTAGTTGTGCAGTGATTGTCCAGTGTTACTGGTCCTTGCACAAAGATGAATTAGCATAGTTGTGGACGGTTTCATTTAACACTGAAACAATTTTTTAAAAAAAGCAAATGCGTGGGAATTTGACTGATTTAGAAAGAGAAAAATTTTAAAAAGAGAAAAATCTCCTTGCTTTTGAAATGAATGAGTACTTTGAAGGTCTAAATGCAGAGAAATAAACAGTTTTTTATTGAAAATGTAATGTAAAGGTACAGTTATTCAAGTTCTCAAATATTACAAAATAATACTTAAGTAGAGTAATGAAGTACAATTACTACTATTTTCCATCTGCTTAACATCATATTGTGGTCGGGGTAGGAGAGATGGGCCAGCAGCTAGAAGGTCACAGGTTCCAAACCCTCATACTGAATAGCTATACCAGGTTGTGTTGGGCAAGGCACTTTAACCGCCACTGCTCCAGGCAGCGCTGCTCTGCTGGCGACACTCTGCTGCTCCCAGATCGAGCATAGTAAGGCAGAAAAATGACAAATTTCCCTTGTAAGACCAATAAAGTTCATAACTTTACATAACATTTCTTCATATTGCTTTATACTCGTCTGTATTCAACTGTGTGTGCACAGCATATATGAATTTCTCTGCACAACAGTTGCACAGGCCTCTTGGATCATGTCTTTGCAACATGTTGTAGCAGTTGTTGAAGGCTGTTGCACAATGTCCCAGGAAAATATGGCCTATTGTCTGATAATTATTCAATTCTCTGCCAGGGGAGCGTTGCTGAGTTTGGCTCCGGCGGCTCTCGGCAACACGCTGAATCCAACAGCTCTAATGAACAGCACCACACTGGCCACCATTCAGGGTGTGTGAACTTAGATGTTTTTTGACTTTTTAAAATTATTTAATTAACTGTTTTGTCATACCTTTTCTGTATTCTGTGTGTTTTATTGAAGTTCATTGTTTGCTTTTACCTAATTTCCAGCTCTTGCAACTGGAGGGGCGTTACCCATAACCTCCATTGATGGAAATGGCAACCTGCTGTTTGCCAACACAAGTGCAGGAGGTGCGGCCCCCAGCCTGATGACCGCTCCTCTTCTCCTGAATCCCTCCGGTCTGTCACTGCTCCCCACCAGTGTATTGTCAGCAGGCGCAGCCACAGGTGGGGCTCTAAATCTACAGGTGACCAATGACACGCACCAGAGTGCTGTTGCTGCAGCACAAGTGCCAGTCAAAAGCATCACTGTGGCCTCCAAGGCTCAATGAACTTCTGGCTTCTTCCCTCGCTTTTCTTAGACTTTATTTAATCCCTGTGCTATTACCAAATACAGAGACATTTTATTACTGCTCTTCTTTATCCTTCTCCTTGTGCCGGGAGACTTTTTCTTTTCTGGACAATGCTGACTGTGTTTCTTAGCAGTTCGTTTCTTAGGACCTTGACTTTTTCAACTGTACAGTAGAACTTGCTGTACTTTTTTGGCACATGCTGAGGAAGGTGTTTAGCTATCTTTACCTTATGGTTGCATGGGTCAGGGGGTCTTTTTCCTGAAATCATTTACTAAAAAAAAAAAAATTGACAAACTGAACCAAAAAATGTGAGACTTTTTGATAAGTTAACAAATCCTTAAATGAGATTACTCAGCACAACAGAGTTTATATTTCACTTTGTACAAGGTTCCTTTTATTTCCAGGCCTGTTGTGCAGGCCCATTGTAGAATATTTCAGATTTATAACCAAGATCATTTCATATATTTTATGGTTTAATTTAGAGATGTTACTGAAAATTGTCAGAGTGGATGTTTTTTGGGAGGCTTTTTAAAAATGTTCTGACTATTGCATCACTTTATAAACTCGGTTAGAAGGCTTTAAAACTAGTAATAAATCACAGAGGCTCTGGTTCAAAGCAGCGTCTCTTCAAGAGCAATGCAAGTGGTCTTTGATCTGTCCGACTCTCGTCTGCAAACACTGACTTAGTTCCTGTTCAATGCGACACTCACTCAAGGGTGGATAATGTCTACAAGCAGCACTGAGTTACATAGAAGAAGGATGGGAGGAAATTGGATTTATGTTCAGAAGATACAGTTACTAATGACACTTTACACAGTGTCCTTACATTTGCCTGATGATAAATTAGGTTACATAAAAAAATTTCTATTGATTCTGAAAATGCAAAAGTGAGTTTTTGCAATTTTTTTTTAGAGATGCTTGGGTCAGCATCCTTTGTATGTTGTTGGAAGTTAAACAGCCAAACCAAAATGTCTCATCACGTATTACTGAAAGAAGTCACAAATGTAGCTTTGCACAGTAATTTATTTATTCATTCTCTGCCCACAAATGTTCTTTCATAGCAACTGTTGATAGCTTGATCAAGCTTCACCAACCTTTCACAAGAACCTAATGAGAGTTAATGGGAAATCAGCACACTGGTTAGTTTTTGTCAAAATACCTACATTTGTGTTATAAATTTCAAATGGAAGTTTGTATTATTAGATCAGGTCTAGATTTTTAATGCATAATCTCTCCCTGCCTACAGCGTCTCCTTCCTTTATAGGTTTTAACTCATTAACTAGCAACGCTAAAACAGCCAAAGCCTATTATTCAAATGTTTATTTCTAAATATTACAAGAGAACAAAAATACTCCCAATCCAGCCTAACACTGTGAAATTCCACATGTATCCAAATAATACCATTTAAAATAACAACCCATGCTAAATGTTGGTGTTTTGAGAAACAGCCGTGTGCTGCAGTTTCTCATTAGCTTGAATTGGACTTTTCTTCAACCTTTGAGCATTAGCTGGACATTTCGGTGGTAGTGTTGAGGCACATAGATCTGATATAAGAAGCTTCAACCAAAGTGAACTCCTAGCTGCTAAATTGAAGTCCACATCATATCACCGTCACTGAATGGAGTGCGTAGAATGTTCTACCTTCAGCATCAGATCACATTTATCATGTGTACATAGAGCAGACATGTTGGACTTACGTTTTGTAGCGAGTATATTTTTGTAGAAATACCTCAGCAGCATTTAATACTAAAAGGAAATACTGATGTTAAAAGCATGTTTTGGAATTTTGAACATTTTTCCTAAATACTGTTGGTCATTATGGTTTTTAGATGAACAGTGTGGCTTTAGATTGTGGCCATTAGAGCATTAAAAATGGCTAATGGTTACTTGAATGTTGTAGGATGATTTGTAATGAGTACAGTAAGTACTCTTTACCACTGGCTGTTAACAGCGCTAACTAGCTTGCTAGCATTCCGTAAGGGGCACCTATTGTAAGTGCCTGTCTAACTGCAGTTTGCAGCTGTTCTTTATAAGAACAGCCAGTGAGAAAGTAAATGTGTGGTCTCCACATGCCTTACTGTTTAAAATGGCCATTAACCAACTTAGAGACACAATTGCTTTGTGATTGCATCAAGGCCATTCAGGCCCACCAAAGTCATTTCTAATGCTATGCAATTCATCTAAACAACCAATTCTCAACACTGCATAAGAGTCAGGTTTTCATCTGTTTAAAAATATTAAAATATTACTCATAGGGTTGAAGCAGATCTTTCATAGTTCTGACTTTCATAATGAACACACATACTAAATACTACTGCATTGCTTATACTACTATTTCATGTTTGTACTTGTTTTTTGGGGTGTGTGTGGGGGTTTTCTCTTACTTGCCAAAGCAAATGCCTTCTGCACCGCTGCTTTCTACTAGCAATGTTGCTAACCAGGTCCTAGCGCATGGATGTGTTCCCCTTCTCTCCTGTACCTGGTCTTATTGAAATACTTGTCTTTTGATCTTTATATATAAGTAGTTGTTAATATATTCTATACATCTTAACCTTTTTTGTCATTTCAGAGTTAGAACGCACTTATTCTGTAGTTGTCACAGAAGAAAAAAAAACACTGAGGGCCTAAATTCCATTTGCCTGTCCAGGGCTAAAACCCTTCTTGTTGAGGAGGAAGAGTGCTGAACTGGCCTTAATAGAGATTTTAATGATTTCCATTCACAGGTTCACCTGTCGCCCCTGTCAAATTTCAGTGTTAGGTCTGAGATGATACTACATTAGAAATACCAAAGACTTACATCAGTGATTTTCATCACACAGCATAGCTATTGTTTTTGTAAGTGACTCCAAGAATACATGTTTTTCTCTCAAGCATGCAGCTTTCAAAGAACTTTTCTGCTGTATCATCATTGAGATATACAGTCATTCAAAGTGGTGTAATGTAAAATGGTGGGAAGGTGGGAATGGTGAATGTAGGGAAACTAAGAATGGTGATGATGGGACCCTGGGGTCACAATGTCCACAATGCAAATAAAGCCTTTTTACCCACTATCCAAAACAACCATTGAACCTACATGCATCTTCAGAGTTTATATGGAATGTTATTGATGCTGATAAAACAGTGGTAAATCTGAAGAAATGTTTTCGTTGGGTACTGTTTTTCCTGCATGTACCTCTCCACCATTAACGCATTTAAAAAAGTATGTTACGGCCAAAACTTTTACCTCAAAATGATTAGAAAACAATCATCATCAGGCATTAGGCATGTGTTCATAAGAAACTTGAGTAATAACTCTCTGTGACGGATCTTCTAGAGGCATTTTGGCATTGGTTGGTTCCCATCACCACCACTGTGAACAATTCCTGCCACGTTCTGTCTAGAACAGCACATTAGACCACTCTGAGTGACTTTATTTACATCTTGACGGTTTAATTTTGCAGAAATTTCGGAAAGCTCAGTGAAATTCCCCTTTAAAGGCATTGTTAAAACTTTCATTTGGGATTTAATTACATTTCCTGCTCAACACTGATTAGCTTTCTTCCAAAGTGAAAGAGAATATTTTTAAATACTGTTTAAAATGTTATAGAAACAATACCAAAGATGTCTTCTCTCTTTCTGTGCGTTTTTTTTTCTTCAACTAATCAACTCTATTCTTGTAATTTCCATTTTTCCCATTTTACGTTTTAATGTGTGTCATTCAAAACTACATCCTCTCTTCTGTTTTCGCACTGTAGAGATGTCTAGGACAGTGGTGAGTGTAGGAACAAGGTATTTGGCATTTTTTTGTGTGTAAGTTTTGTAATGTACATTTTTCTCTATAGTGGCCTTTTTTATTTTGGGGATCTAAACATATCGGTATCGAGGTCATGCTTTCTGTCACTGCAGAATGTGTATCATTTTATGTTTTATTGTACAGAAAAGGGCTGGTAAAGCTTCTTCACAAAGAAACAAAATGCACACAGATAAGTTCTCTATGGTGAAGTGAGTAAAAGTATTTTAACTTACCGATTAGGTCATCTGGCATTTTGATGCTGTAGTCTGCTGACATTTTATGTCTTCTGTGTAGTCTCTGTTTCTGTTAGAATATGCTGTAGTTGTTTATATCATTAAATCATTTTCAGTGTGTTCTCAGAATGTTGTGTCCCTGTTTATAGGTTAAAAAGTACATTGATGGAATACAGCACTGAATTTTATAGAAAAAATAAAACATACATAAATATTTATGTGCTGAATGCACATAAAATTGCACTACATTAAGTACCTCCTTGTTTTGACGCTCATTTTCAATTTTATTAGCTTCACTTATACAAGCACTTCATAGTTCTACAATTACAGACTGTAGTCCATGTGTTTCTTAAATGGTCAGAACCACCACAGAGCAGGTTCTATTTGGGTGGTGGATCATTCTCAGCACTGCAGTAACACTGACGTGGTGGTGATGTGTTAGTGTGTGTTGTGCTGGTACGAGTGGATCAGACACAGCAGTGCTGCTGGAGTTTTTAAACACCTCAGTGTCACTGCTGGACTAAATAGTCCACCAACAGCGTCCTGTGACTACTGGTGAAGGACTAGAGAATGACCAACACAAACTGTGTAGCAACAGTTGAGCTACTGTCTCTGACTTTACATCTATAAAGTGGACCAACAAGGTAGGTGTGTCTAGTAGAGTGGACACGTGGGAGCAGAGGCTGCATGTGCTGCAAACCAACTGATGAAAACCGCCAAATTCATTTTATTTGTTGTGACATGAACATAAGATTGAGAAAGCAAACAACTGTGGAAAATTGTGATCAGCTCAAATAACTGGGACTGGCCTAATTGTTCCTGTTTGAGGGTAAAAATTTGAGTGTTTACACGTGTCCATAGTAAGAGCGCAGCACTGACGACTCTGTGGAGACACCAAACGACACCAAACCACACACGCACACACAACCTGTTCAGTTCAGAGTTTGATCATGCAACCCTGCAACCCTTCAAAGTAGAAGAACCACTTTTGGTTTGCTAAAGAACTTTTCAGTCTGTGGTTTATGTGAAGTAGATGTGTGAGTGTTAAGAACCTCAAAGTTCTATATTAGTTTAAGGCTTTTCTTAAAGCCACACATTCAAGCCATGAGTCAGCAATTATTGCTTAATATTAGTGACATCCTAGCACTCAAGCTTTGGTCAAACATGCAGTTGCTGACTTCAGTTAGTCAATAAAGCACTATGAAAAAAGGGGACATACATCATAGACCATGTCCAATAACCTGGGTTGCTGAACAATGGATAACACTTAAAAGCTCACAGATGGACGGTCAGTATTTGAAGAGTTTTCTTCCAAGCTGCTGTATATAAGTGGTGCCCAGTCCTGGTTCTGGAGATCTACCATCTTTGGGGGTTTCAGATCCGGTACACCTGTCTCTAATTTTCAGATCCTTCTGAAGGCCTTCGTTACCTGGATCAGGTGTTTTGGGTTAGGTTTGGAGCTGAACTCTGCAGGGTGGTCGATCTCCAGGAGCAGGACTGGGCTCCCCTGCTCTATATACATGTGTAACAATTTAAAACAGAGATATTTTTTGTATATGTAAAGTCCACTCCATGGAAAAATAATGCATTTATAGCAAAATCTTCTGTTTTATTTTTGGGTTCTCAGCACAGTTTAAAAAAGAGAGAGAATGACACCAGTGTTCTGTTGTTTATTCTAAATTAGTCAAGTTCTTATTTTTATATTCATTATTTAATGACTATTTATTTTTGACTGGCTTTTGTAAATATCAGTTCAGTATCAGCCCCTTACAGGTCAGTAAATACATGTAAAGTCCACAGTTCTAGACTTGGTGGACTTTGATGACTGGTCTCTTGCCTGCAGTGACTTGTGTGCATCTGTCCTCAGCATCTGATCCACTGAGCTCACTGACCCCCTCAGACTGACCATGCGCTGCAGATCCTGGATGATCTGCAGTAACTCTTGACGTCTCTTCCCTCCTTCCCACCTCAAACAGAAGGCTCAATACTGAAAGACGAAATCCCTGATGCTCTCCTGCAGGCCTCGTCTCTGCTCTCTGTATTTCTGCCTCGGCTTCACAGTCGAGAAAATCTGAGACAGGCGGCCTTGACTCATATGTAAACATTTTTCAAAATATCCCTTCACTCCTCAGCTCATACGTGGAAACTAAGCTGCAAAAACAGCCTGTTTTGCATTCATTGTTTCTGTGATGTCATGAGACCCAACTCATTTACATACATCCACCTATTCTGCCTACAGCGGTTTAGCCCCGCCCACTTATTGAAGTTCCTAGCAGTGTTTATGAGGAGTGTTTCAGCCTGCACTGTTTTTTGAATGAGGCAGCCAATCAGAACAGAGCTCATTTGCATATATCAGCCTTAAAGGCACAGTAACAAAAACAGCCTGTAAATCCAGTCGTATGAAAAGGTTTGGGCACAATTTGTCATGAATATAAACATCCTTGGATCAGGTGTGTTTTATCCAGCTAACTTTTCAATGATGTATTTTGTAGTTGTTCTGCACTGGGTGCTTTATTTAGTCATCAAGAGCTATAGTTGTGTATATATATATATATATATGTATATGTGTGTATACATATATATATATTTCCCTTTGGCAATCAATAGAGATTTATCTTTCAACATAATCAGCATAAAGCTAGCTGACTAACTAATAATGTCATGGCATTAAACAATTTCATTACAATGTCAAGCTTGTAACAACCCTCTTGTATAGAACCATTTTCCAGCACATACACGATCTGTAGAACCATCTCACCATGCAAAGAACCATTTAAGCTAATAGTTCTATATAGAACTCATGGTTCTAAATAGAACCATTGCCTTTACTAAAGAACCCTTTAAGAGCCTCGATGGTGATGTAAAACATTTTTAAACAGTGACAACAAATTATGCGATAAATTACACAGCAAGCATCCCTGACTGAGACTGCAGATCACACAGTGTCATCTTGATATAGAGAATTTATGCTTGAATAAATATTAAATAATATTATCTATCATAGGATGATTACTTTGATGTAACTGTTGGTAACATTAGCAGAAAAGCTCACTTAGCTAACAGGCTAACAGTAAGAGTTAACGAGTTGTTTTTAGCTAGCAAACCACCTAATGTAGCTAGTGTGCTACCATAAAAGTAAATATAAACATTGAACATGACAATAAGTAAACATATATCAGTAAACGATAGCTTAATGGAACTCCTCTTTGGCAGCTCTTGGAAAATATTGAGCTAACTAGCAAGCTGTATCCTGTGTCTCACAGGCTGAGAGCTGTTGATTGTTACTTGTACAGTCCATTTTTTTTTTCTAATAAATGACTTTCTTTACATTAAGTCTGTTTCAAGCAAGTATAAATGTGCAAAACAGCAGCGTTGACATGGCCTGAACATCCACATCCAGCATGTATTTGTGACCCACATACCGCATGGAAGGATAGCACAAAAGTGGCTGCAGCGTTGCTATCTGAGAGGCTGTGTGTATATGAGAATGTGGAAAAAGCTAAAAAGGGAACATAAAATTATGCCAGAGTGATTCTGCCCAGGTTTTGCAGAGTCAGCTCTGGTCTGGAGTCCACATTTGGGCCCAATTCTGAGCGGTTATTATCCACAGTTGCAGGCCTGGCTGGCAGGAACTAAGGCAGAATCATTTAATGTGGCATTTCATAGCTGGTTGGGATAAAACACTCTTAATTACAACACAACATGTCATGTATGGGCTGGTTAAGTTACTGGATACAAGTTTCTCTTTAATATTGTAATTACAGAGATTTGCTGACTAAAAAATGTCTGGTGAATCACACTTTGCTTGTGCAGCTATTATTACTGTATGTAAAATGATTCAGAGTCCTGAAAGTTTATCCTAAAGTATCATTAACAGCTGTAGTGCATCTTCAGTGTTCTGTTTGTCAGCTATGGTAGATTCTTAGTGCTGCTGCATTGAGCTACTTCACAGAGCAGATGGCAGTGTTGTGCTGCTCTGAGCTCCTCAGTTAACTGTAGAAGGAAGAGGGAGGGGGCAGATGCTGCCTTTTGGTGGGCAGGAGAGTAAACATCACCTTGCTGTGGAGCTGAACTTTACGTGCCTTTAATTGAGCTTTAACCTTGTTTGCTTCTGCTTTCTCTCCTCCTCACTGAGTAGGTCTCTCGCCTCGCTGAACAACTTCTAATGGAATGTAAACGGCTGACTTCATTTTTATCTCTGACAAAATGTGCAGCTAATTTTGCAAAGTTTTGTACATGTCTTGGTACTAGCCTGCATATCTGGGGGTTGTTTCCGTCAAGTTCGACAAATACTTTTGACATTGACATTTCCCCCCTCTGTGCAGTTCGGTCCACCTCCTGTTGATGAGTGGCTAGTAGTTCATGAATTGTTGTCACAAACTGTTCCTAATGCAAATACAAAAATGAGAACTTAGCTAATAATATATATTCCATTGATCATATTTTACATTCTGGCAGTTTTCAGTGTTATGAAATCTACAAGGATCTTAACTGAGAAGCAAGTGACACTGTCTAAGAGTGGGTCTTAAATGAAATTTGAATAAAATTGCTTGATAGCTCTTTGAAAAGGTTCAGAGGGTCCTGAAAGAGACTGATGGTGTTTAATTTAACAAAGCATACTATCATACATTGCTGCACTAAATGGCCCATCCATACACTGCCAAGAGGCTTAATTGATCTGAAAAGCAACTCAAACTATTGTTAAAGCAAACTAGGTCATCTAGAGCTCTTTCATTTCTGAGGGTGTCAGCTTCATGAAAGGAAAAATATCTAGGCCCATATTTGTCAAGAGTTTCAGAGTAAGACTACTGATTTAAGATTAGGCCTCATCAGTCCATTTAATCCATTCAGTTCTATGCAAAAAGCACAAACTGATGCCAGATAAGCCTTCTTACCCTGAGCAGCCTGATAAAGGCAGAGCTAACTGCAAGGCATCCCGATCTCTTCAGACTGCACTGCATGAATCGAAGGTTGTAACTGAATCTATTGGATCCCATTGAAGAGGTTCACTCCATCAACCATTTGAAATTATTTATGGAGATGATTATCTATACAGTCAGTCCAACGAAAATGCACAGAAACTCCTGGAAGCAGCAGGAGAACTGGGGTCACAAGTCCTGTTTGCAGGACAAAGTCTTCAATGTGTGCTGGTTGCTTGGCCGTTGCCTCTCTCTAAAAGCTGTGTAGAAATCTCAAGAAGAACACAACAAACACTGCGCAGGTAAACAAAGAACAGCAAATACAGGTACATTCATACCAGACAGAGCCCTACAAAGTCAGAGTAAACAACATCAGTCATTTCTGGCCGCATGTACAACATTGTCTGAAGTGGAAAGACCCTTTCAGACCAATATTCTTTGAGACATTAGCATTCTGGACTCTAGTAACTGGCTGACAGAACCTGGCATACTTCAGTGTGAAAAGCAAGATGACTGTAGGCAGCTTAACTTTTGTGCAGACTTCACAGAAGACCCCAACAGTAAGCTGAAGATACTGAAACCACTTGTAAGGTGCAACATGCTCCATTTTAGTGAAAAAAGTCTGATGAAATGCGTCTGGCTCAGACAGGAGAGTTTCGCTGTTACTGTCAAACATCAATCCCCTCACAATCCCCTGATAAATTGCAAAGTTACAAGTTTGATTGTTTTTCCCGCTAATCGGCTAATGCAGAAGGAACCCCGACAACCTTACTACCAGGTCGCTGAAGAGAAAATTGTAATCATATAACTGTCTCAACAGAGAGCATGTATTACAGTGAGTAACGGAAATAACTCTTCTGATGCAGAGGTAAAGCATAAGTGCTAGATAGGTGCCTTTACTCAGTTTGGCAGCTTTTCTTTGGTGTTTTATGTTAAATGACAAGAAAATTTCCATTTTCTTTACAATTTGCTTAGTAATTCTTAATTTAGACCTCTCTAGCCCTTTTGTCATCTAGTTTGAAGTGCTTTGCAAAGTTCAAAGTTTTCAGGCAAATGGCAAAAATGGGATTTATTTCATGTCAAAATCAAATGTGAATGCAATGCTGAAATCACAGTTTTATGAACTGCATAGCCATTATTAATTTTGTAAATCTATAATTTGACACAAATTGTGCAGGTATAATTCTCAGGTTACGTTTACAAAATCTTACATTTACTTCAAAGTTTACATCATGCCGGCCTCTGTTGGAAGAGGACCCACTCTTAAATAACCACTCCCTATTAGAAATGAAGGGCTCATTCTAAGCTAATGAAAACACAACAATTCGTAATTACAGGTGATTATACACTAATGAAAACATGGTTTTGTATACTATATTCTGACAAGGTAGGAGTCTCTGATAGAGTGGACAGTGAGTGGACACAGTGTTTAAAAACTCCAGCAGCACTGCTGTGTCTGATCCACTCGCACCAGCACAACACACATTAACACACCACCACCACGTCAGTGTTACTGCAGTGCTGAGAATGATCCACCCCCCAAATGCTTATCACTGAAGACATAAGGTGTGATACAGGGCAACCAATCAGAACAGAGTTCTTAAAGGCACTATAATAAAAACTGCCTGTTTAAGATATGAAGAGATGTTGGAAGATCATGTAAAATGAATTATAACTGCCTGTGGTACATAAAAGCATACAAATGATAAGTGAAGTTTAAGAAAAATACAACAAGAATGTTGGATTTTGACCCTTTAAGTAATGACGTGGGTGAAAATCCCCAATTTTTTTTTGCTAATTTTGAAAATGTGCAAAAGAAAAAAACTAAATGGAAAAGTCAAAAGTTCAAAAATCAACCAAACATTGCAAAAAGAGTTTTTACGCTAGGACAAGGTGGAAAGTTAGAATACTGCTCAAGCTGAAATGCGAAAAAGGGTGATGGAAAAGGATTTTTCAAATCAATGACGACGTATCAAGCAGTAAGTAAGAAATGATTGGCCCTGCAAATGGTCCAATCGTGGCTCATAGCTTTTTGAAGGTTGCTTTCAATGTTCTGAAACGCCTGATCCAAAGCTCCTTTGTTTATTGGCTCTGCACAGTGTGTTCCCAAATTGTCTGGTGCGTTTGTGCTCCTAAATGCAAGATGAATGTCGTTGGGGCGGCACGATTTCCCTCATTAGGCGGGCCACTGCACATCCCGCCCAGCACTTCTGATCTGAAATAATATGGCCATAAAAAGATGGCAAACGACTGTAAAGATAATTCTGCTTGAAGCAAAAACTGAGTTAAATCTCTCCATCATGCTTGTTTCGGTGCCACCCCTAATCATGGAAGCCTACATCACCTAAAGTTTCTTTGCAAAACTGTAATGGATGGAAGCACAACTTAATTTGCATTTTTTTCTGCCAAAATTCATAAATGCGCATAACATTTGCGAAACTAATGGAAACCCGTCTTCAGATCTGTAAAGAATTCTCTTATAGTATTTAAGTGTTTGTCCTTCTTGTGAGAGTGAATAGCAGTGAACTCAAGCTGTTTCCCAGGTTTTCAACGCTTTGCTTCTAAATTCCAGATTTCTAGATTCCAAATTCTAGATTCCAGATTTGAGAAGACGTGTGTCATTCATTACAAAAACACATCAATCTAACTTCTATTTTTTCATTGCATGAATTTCTACTGAGCAGTGGTGAGGAGGTGCATGGAGTGCATTTTCTTGCGTTCACGTTCTGTAGGACATACATTCTAACTCTGCAGCTGACTTATTTTGGTATCTAAAAATGGAAAAATCTGACAAACATGGAATGAGTTTCATTTTATTGTGGAGTAAAAATGGTCAATCTTTACAAAACAACACAATGCACATAAGGAAGGCTCATATAAGACTTTTGCTCATAAAATGGCCTGATATTGTAGTCTACTGCCTTTCTTAAAATGTCTTTTTGCAGGTCTGTAACAATATAAAAATGCATTACTATAGAACTGCATACACAGGTTACACTGTATAACTGCTAAAATTATGCACAAAGCACAACAAGAGAAGGAATTTTTATACAACAAAATCAGGAGAAGTAAAGCAATTTAACAGCAAATGTATAGATATTCTCAGTTTAAGTTCAGTTCAAAAAAAAAAATCTTAAAAAATATGTAAGCAAAAGCCAAATAAGTAGTTCTGTCTGTGCTAAAATAGGTTCATGACCCTCATAACGATATACAGTAGCTAGTTTGTGCAAACAGAAACGTCTATAGCTGGATGGAAACTAGTTTGGTGCTCATATGCTAGTTTTAGTAAGCATATATGTCGTATGGCAAACCATCAACCACATGAAACTAAGAATGTTACCTCATAAAATACTGCACAGATGTGTGGAAATAAACATGCCATTCAAAAAAAAAAAAAAAGAGTCAATTAATGAGTGTCCGTGCTTAGGGACGTTACAGTTTGAGTTAGTTTAAGCATAATAAACTACCTTGTTGGCTTTTCTATGTACATTTAGGTCCTGTTTTAAGGTTTTTGTAAACTGTAGAAGGACATTGTATCAGGTCTTACATCACGGGGTGAAAAGTATTAGAATCGTATCACTGGTCAAACAGTATTTACAGTAGATTCAAAATTCTGTAACCATATCAAACACTGCCCAGTTCACTCTGGACTCACCAGACAGCTCAAATCAAAAACATCAGACCAGCCAAATTTGAATAGCATAAGATGGAGTAAGGCTAATGTACATGAATGGAACAGGTAACTTACTCTGCAAAGATTCTGCATTCCTCAGTAACGCAAGTTATTGGATGGACTGCACTATAATAACTGTTAGAACAGAACTTTACTTAATAGCTGCTGGTATTAGCGACGTGGAGGCAGAGGCTGCATGTGCAGTGAATCGTAGGTGTCTTTAGTGGCGGAGCTCAGACCCTGGTACAGACAGAGATGAAGACATGGTGAGATAATTTGGCCATTGTTAATTGATGAATACTTATCAATACACTGTACTTTGTTAGCGCTCCTGTTCCAGGATAAAAATCTGAACGTGTGAAGCATGCATGCTAAAACATTTCTTCTGCTTACCTGGTACACCTGGTCATTTTGACGACGCTGTGGAGAGACACATAAAACGGCTGTCAGCCCAAACCACACACCCTTTTTTCTGCCACAAAGCCCTGACCTGTCTAGTTCCATTTCACCACGTTCCACTTCTTCAGCCTCATTTCAACACATCATCCCAGCCAGCTGGAGATTTTAAAAGAGCTTGCTACACTCTTCGAAATACAAACGCCTTTAAAAAAGGCAAGATAGGTGACGTTTTGTACCAAAGAAGACAAATCAAATAGGGTCACTTGGGTGGGGGAAGACGCATTTCTTCTGATCATATGATGGGGTCAAATCTAATCTCAACACAACTGCTAAATAGCTACACGCTAATTCTGAAATATAAGCTATATGACTGCATTCCTGGATTTTATCCCCCCAGAAAATGTTTGGGGTCAGTTGATCCAGTATTTTACATCAGTGGATAACAGAATGCATGTACTTATATTAAGTTGTCCAAAAAATGATTTTAAAAACTTGATAATGGGAGTGGGGCAGGCGGTAATGGTTTCAAGAGGATCTCTTTTTGTTTGAAGTGAATATTTAAACTTAAACTTTCAGGGCAAATTTACAGTTTTAGCACATTTCCCTAGAGTTTTAATTTGGATAGATCTTTCCTCATAAAGACATAAAGGTTCTGTAAATGAGATGCGCGAGTGAGAAGAACGTTTCAAAGGTCTTACAGAACCTCTATATAATATAAAGGTTCTACATCAATTAGAGGTTTTAGGTCACACAAAACACACATACACAGTTCTACCCTTTTAAAAATGATGGTTCTTCAAGGGTTCTTTAGTAAAGGGAATTGTTCTATTTAAAGCCTTGAGTTTTATATAGAACTATTTTACGCTTATGGTTGTTTGCATGGTGAAATGGCTCTTCAGATTGATAGAGAATGTGTTGTATATGGTTCTATATAGCACCAAAAAGGTTATAAGCTTGACATCATAACAATAGAAGAACACTTTTTGGTGCTATATAGAAATATTTTCAAAAAGGTTCTTTATAGAGTGATATACAACACACCTCTATCAGTCTGAAGAACTATTTCACCACGCAAAGAACCGTTTAAGCATGAAATGGTTCTATTTAGAACTCTATATAAAACCATGAGGGTTCTATATAGAACCATAAGCGTTCTTCAATAAGGGTTCTTTAGAAAAGAGAATGGTTCTGTTTAGAATCCTTGAAGAACCATCATTTTTCAAGAGTGTAGCCTTTAAGATCCCTGAACTTGAATAATAAAAAGACTAAAAAAGATAAACAAAGCTCACATCTTTCTTCACTTGGATCTCTTTGTATGTGTCGTCTGTCTTCTTCTGCAGACGCTATAAACAAAAACAAATCGTTACCACATTACTGTTGTTCTCCGTAGAAATCATTTACGTTAAATCACTTTAATTGTAGATATTAACCCCCCAGCAGCCCCTCAAATGGTCTTATTAGCTGTCAGTACAAAATGTCCCCAGTGTAACCTGACCTGCCGTGGTGAAGAGCTGGTCTCTAATACCAGGAACTTTTCTTTTTTTCACTCTCATAAGCAGAGTTTCGCAACTCGTTCACACTCCAGCTTAAAAGGCTTACGGTAATGTGCTGCTGATCAGAGGGGTCCTTACCGTATATGTGTCCTCCATGTCTCTGCGACCCTGCAAGCGGTTACACAAACAGTGAGTGAACACAAAGACTCAGAGAAGTTTTATTCTTCAGACAGAAACAAATGGGGCTCAGCTAAGAGTAGTCATTTAGTCTGACCATCGCATGTGTCGCACAAGTGCTCGGGCTACACATTCAGATGCTGGGTTACGAATACTCACCCCACGGGCCCGTCCACTCTCAGGGTCTCTCTGTCTCAGTCCATCATAGGTGGATCGGACACCCTTCAGGTCCTCAATTTCAAAAAATTATAATGCAATAAGTGTGAACAATCCGGAACAAAAAAAGATGAAAAATCTGCACTTTAATGTATTTACTGCTCACATCCTCAGCTGTAGCTGCTGGAACAAAATCCCTCCTTTTTTATTTTATTATTATTATAATTTAAATTTGCCAGCTGCCCTTTACGTTGCTTCAAAAATTCATGATGGATGGACCAATAGAAACGGCCCAAAATGACTTTGAATAAAATCTTGTTACGCTGATTTGCATTGATAGCTAACAATATTTCACTCCTTTAAAAAGTAAAGAGCACTTACTTGATAATCAGACTCACTCTCCACTTTGCCTTTGGGCTTGCAGAACTGGTTACAAAACAGACAGAAATTTAGTCGTTTTCACACACAAGAAAAACGTTGATGTGGTTTTATAAATCTGACGTATTTGTTTTTTTGTATCAAAGAAGGTTAACGTGAGTAATTTACTGATTTCCTAAATCTAAGGCGAAGGCCTCAAACGTGTCTATAAATAATTCACTTTGTAAAATTATTCACTATTGAAGATGAAAAACATGTCTTCCATATATACAACAGCACAGTTCCCCACACACCTCATTCAGCTCATCATCACTTAATTACCAGTTTTAGTAGGTGTGTTGAAGCCGGGAAATCACCAAACTGTGCCACATGACTTTTGGGCACCCCTGATTTAAGGAAAATTGAGTTTTTGATTCGGATGAGAGATCTTACACTAAAGGCCTTTTTGCTAGAGAAATGAGAAAAAGAAAAAGGTGTTGTGGTGTCAGTTTGCGTAGAAAGTGTTGCGTCAATGAAGAAGCGCAGTCTTACTTTCTCACGTAGAAACAAGGCTGTGATTATGATGCCGTAGATTAACAGGAACACATCTAGGATGTAGCAGAATCTGGGGTCGTACAGTCCGCTTGACGCCTCTGTTCAAAAGAGAGAACAATCAAGCTTTATGTTAGAATAACATCTCTATTACCAGCGTTCACAAACGTAGTAACTATGAATCACATTGGAAGTCGGTTACTTGCACAGCAGAAGCAACACTGTGTACTGATGTTTGACTTTTGTTTTTTGGCTTATTTATGCGCCCGCAAAAAAGGCACCTTAGCAAATAGTTTAAAATCATTCATCTGGACAGTATGTGTGCTTTTGCTTGTAAAGACACTATATATCATAGGTATACAAGCACTGATGCAGGAAACATTAAGATTGTTATTTAAAAAGTACTGGAGATGTTGTGAACTAGTTAGTATAGTTAATAGTAGTTCTTGGTTCCTGACCAAACCAGGTATTGGTTGAATAAGCATAGTGCTGGGCTGCCACAAGAAGAAGTCTGAAAATGGTTAAAACACTGACATATGTAAAATTACCACTTATTCTATTAATGTCATTTGTATTTATTCAAATATTAGTGTTATTAAGTTCTTTCTTCTCAAATAAATAGCTTTTTAAACATCATTTTCTTAAAGGCCTAAGACTTTTGCACAACACTGTGTATATATTTAATCTGGGACTGAAGGATTTGGAGAAAATATCTGACCATTATTGCAATTGCAGTTTAAAATTTGTTGATCAGTTAAGCTCCAGGCCTTATTTATCCACCAATAAAACCAACATATCTGGACTTGAAAACAGTGTACCAGACTGAATGTACGTACTATAATGTAATGTGAAACTTAAGACCAGGTACTATTAAATTTGCAGCTCCTGCAATTTTAAAATTGCACTCTTTCAAATCGTTCAGCCCCGATTTCAACACTGTCAAAACAAAACGCTGCCTGAGAAGTTCTCTGTATGTTCAAATCTATCCTGCGATTACTGTAAGTATTCAGTTGAGAAACAAAATGTACAGCTCATGTAAATATTGCAGAAACAATGTTGTTTAAATGCAAGATGCATTCTGATTAGAATATTAGAAGAGCTGAGAAGTTTAGCACATGGATTAAAACATAGTATGTACTACAAGTAAAATACTGAAATCACAGGTAACGTGAAAGTTGAAAAATCTGTGGACAAACACTGAAAAAAAATTTAAAAGCAAAAATTTTCAGAGCAAAATGTCTCTTTCTTTGCTCCTTTCCAAAAATATGTCAATTCAAAAACTTTAAACAAAAACCACTCAGGCACAATTACGGCTATTTTCATTAGCACTGAACATAAAACGCAAATTAGACCTGTGAAATGCTCCACAGCTAGATACGCACACACAGACGCAGACACACACACACGCACACGCACGCACACTCAGACAAGGTGCAGAACAGTGAGCGGTGTGTGATCCACCAAGCCTCTTGCGGTCGGTGAGACTCGCACAGTTTCTAGTTCAGTGGTTTCCTCAGCTGCAGCTCTCTCCGAGATCAGGAGGTAAAGTGGTGTAACTGACTGTGTATGTGTGAGTGTGTGTGTGTGTGTGTGTGTGTGTGTGTGTGTGTGAGTGTGTGTGAGTGTGTGTGTGTTTGAGAGAGAGAGAGAGAGAAAGAGAAGGAGGAAGACTCATGTGGGCCATATTTATAATATACACCTACACACACAGACTGATGTTTGAGGAGATAACAGTAGCAAATATGCATATAAAAGAGTTTGAAAGGTGTCACTAACTTCCCTTCTTCAGATAAAGATCGTGTGCAGTTATTAATACAGTTAATTGCTGCAATCAATCCTCAAATGCTTATCATTTTTTACTGTCAACAATAAATACCAAGTCTGTATCTTTTTCCACAGAAGACGTTTAAACTAAAAATAGTGCAAACCCAGGTCTTTTCATGAGATTTGTTTGTTTTTTTAGTGAAACGCTGTAATGTTCCAGCAGTAAGTAACGATATATAGTCGCTGTCACTTAGATTTCAATTGTTATTTTCCTGCATCATTTGAACACAGTAGCTGTTCTTTACATTATTTGAACATTTCATGATGAACGGAGTGACAGAAATACTCCAAAATGACTTGGAATAAACACACATACACACACACACACAGATATATATATATATATATATATATATATATATATATATATATATATATAACTTTACAGAAGACAAAAACATGCCTTACTTTTAATGTAAGTTAATGGAATCCGACATTTTTCCAAGTAATTCTGGACCATTTCTTTTGTCCGTCCATCTTGAAATTTACACACAATACAAAGGACAGTAGGTATTTTAATATTATGTCAAATACTGAAAAACAACAGAAATGGAGATATGAGGTTTTGGTCCAACAGCAGCGATATATAAACATATTTTTTGACAGCGGCGATGTTCATTCATTGAACACACACAGCATGCATCACGTATCTCCATTTCTTTTTTCCACATTATTTTAACACAGCAAATGTTCTTTCTATTGTGTGAATATTTCATGACGAATGGACCAACAGAAATGGTTCAAAACTACTAAAAACTTGACAAGTGACCATTTTGGACATACATGGTTTTGTTGGGGCAGTGGCGATGTGCACCCTTAAACAGCTTTTACTTGAACAACTGTATTCTGAGAGTTTGTGCTTTTATGATCTCCCCTATGTAACAGTTTTACAGGGTCTAAACTGTGTAGCAATGCTACTGATAACATATTTTACATTAATCTTCCTGCATTAAAACATATTTGACAACCAAAGATAAAAGTGCTCAACCATCACCGAACAGCCTTTAGAGGCAACGGTGTTATGGAACTCCTGATCTGCTTCATTCAGAAGCATCGCAGTATCTAAGCCTGGTCTGGTAAGTTAATCAGTTCTCCATAAGCAGGGTAGGATGAAGCCTGCAAATCCATCAGTATCAGCCTAAATGCCACTGGGGCAGTATCCCTCCTGTCGCTGGGGTGGGACCCTCAAGGGTCCATCTCAATACCTTTAGTCAGGGAACAAAATTGTAACATAATCCATTGAAATGATATTTTCTAAGTTGTATTGACTCCACACGCCCCGTCTCGTCTCCACACTTTTTATTTTATTGTTTTAAAACATTAGCTCATGAAATGGTACAAATATGCACTTTTTACCTGGAAAAACTTAAGGTGCACAATCGGACCTTAAAACCACTGTACATTTGAGGGAACACTTACATTGTTTGTACCTTGATTAAAGAAAAATGCATTTGCACAGTACTTCTATTTCTAACTGTGTAGAAAAGCTAATGTGAATATTCAGTACTCTGCAAAACTCTTAAGTGATTGTTTAAAACCATTTTTGGACAATAACCCTGTTTTTGAATCTAAAAAAGAATGTAATGTTAGAATAAGCGGAAACAAACATTAATGCTGTAAAGACCGATAAGAATCTCTTGATTTCACAAAAGTGGTTGACATCTTTTAAGCTATTTAAAAGAACAGAGCTTTGGCTCCAAATCGCTCCTCAGTCATTGTATTAATTAGTAGAACTCCACCACCAGCACATTGGTTTAATGAAGGTTTTATTAATCAAACCAGGTATTGGATGTTAACTACAGTAAATACTGGGCTGCCAAGAGGAGAGCTCTGAAAATGGTTCAACACATACATACATAAATCAATATTTTTTGTATTAATACTATCTGTATTCACTCTAATATTAGTGTTTTTCTAAGAAAAAACATGTACTGCCCAGTTTAATAGCTATTTAAATATAATTTTCAAATGCTCTACACTGCACAGACACCCATTTTAAATATAGACTACAGACACACTGAAGATTTATAAAAGCTCTGAATTTATTCACTGTAAAATGTTTGACGTGGGTTGGAACGACAACATGCTTTTGCACAATGTAACGCGTTCAGGGAGAACGCTTGTTTAAAGATTCATTCTCAGAACTCATCCGCCACATCAGGTTGACTAGAGAGATACAACTTTTTAAACATTTTTAAAAGTGAAATCATTTTTGTAAATCATTAATAACAAATAACTATATGAGACTTACAGGATTTGTGTCAGTTGACACCTTGCAGTTTTTCCCGTTTCAACTTATAAAGTTTCTCAGTTCGCAGTTAGACTTAGAAGTTTAAAGTCTTTGAAAATAAATATAGTTTCAACAATTTTGGTGGTATTTCCTCTATAACAAATATTGTCAACAACAACAAAAAAAAAAACAAGGCAAAAAAAAGAAAGCTCATTTTTAGATCATTAAAATAATTAGAGGTTTAAAGTGATACTAACTAGCAGATGATTCTAAATTATATATTATAATACACACACACACACACACACACACACACACACACACACACGTATGAACCAGTCCCTCTAGTTACTGAATAACAAACTTTAGTATGTAATAAGCCCTGGATTTTAAGGGGTTAAACATGCTTCTTTATATATATGTTACACATATTTATCATCACATAAATAAGCTTTTGCAAACATTTCTAATAAAAAGCTAATTAGTATCTAATTCAACCATTTACGCTTTTTAACTTTTTCAGTTTCCTTTGCTACAAATTATGTTGACTGTATTGTTCAAAACTACACTGTCACAATACTTGCTCATAACTTTTTATTCCACAGTTCTAGCAATAAACTCTATTATTGGGAAATATGAAGTATGTGCAGAAATAAGTAGCCACATCCACTCACGGGCCAGTGGAGTCTCTGTGGTTTCCTTTTTGATCTGTTTTCTGTGAAAAAGTGATTCTGTCTCAGATAGGCCTGCCTCTGTTCCAATGAACTGAACAGTCGTTCACATTACCTAATAGGAAAAAACACTCATACTTCATCTGTCGTCTGATAACCTTCAGCTGGTTTGTGAAAAACCTCACAAGATTAAACTCAGTATCAGCTCTGGCTGTATCTTTGAGTCTTCCCATAGCTTTGCATATGATGGCTCTACCTTGCGTAGGCTGTGGTCAAGTCTAAACTTCCCTTTCAACCCACCACAGAGGTGAACTGGTGTGGTTACATTTCCCCTCTTATAAGCAACCTTAAGACAGAGCCACAAAATAAATAATGC